TCTGGAGGCCGCGCCCTGCATGGATCCGAGTGTGGGTGGACAGGCTCTCGTGTGGGTGCTCCGACGGGAGGGAGAGTACAAGAGCGAGATCAAGGGCACCGAGGTCTGCGGGTTCCTCAGTGTGTGTCCCAGGCCCTGTGGCCCAGCGCTGGAGCCGCCTGGCACCCACAGGAATGCGGCTTCTCTTGGCTCTCCAACACCCCCCTCCCCACCAACCCCGTTCCACAAGGAGGTAGCCGCCAGGAAAAGGGGGGCGGGCAGAGATCGGCCTAGCCCAACCCAAGCCTCAAACAAAGGCCAATTTATCTGATCTCTTACTGGAGAGCCCGGGAGGAGGGTAGAGCCCGGAGGAACCGCACTGGTCCAGCCGACGTGCCTCGGGCCGCCTAGGCTCTCCAAGCAGGCTTGAAGCTGGCGGCGGGGGACGGGAGCTGTGGTGTAGAAGGATCGAGGAAGCCCACGGAACAGAAATGTGTATCATGAGATGGGCCTGATTCATTCTTGGGAGCACACGATTGGGGGCACGAAGTCTGGGAGAGTAGGGTAGGCCATGGGGAAGAAGCTGGGCAGTGGTACACATTTATGTTAGATATAAGAATAAACAATGGGGAGGGAGAGGAATGGTGGGAAGGAAGCAGAGAGAGGGAGAGAAACATCACATCGATATTTTTAGACTTTGCTGAAGATCTGTTATTTTTACATCGTTGGGCTCAGGACTGCAGGGAGTTAAATTCCCTGGGGAGAATCCCCATGGTGCCAGGGAAAACCCGCTGCACACTGGCTTGCCAGAATATTTTTGTCCAAAGCTCCCTGACCAACCTTAAACACACACACACACACACACACACACACACACACACACACACACACACACACAAAGAGGGGGAAGTGAGGTTAGCGCAAGGGAAGGAATTCTGAAACTGAGCCTGTGTCCGCGCGGCGCTAGGCCTGACCGACACGCAACTAGGCTGTCGCGTCCTGCACGACAAGCAGCGTCTAGATTGAGAGTACTGAGGGTGGTACTGAAGAATAGCTTCCCAATTCTCTGCAGCGTCTGGACTCTCCCATAAGTCGGCTAGGCCTTGCCGGGTGGTTGGAGGTAGAGGAAAAAGAATGCGATGGCGGGGGAAAAAAATGTCTGCCCTCGCCAAGAGCAGAAACGGAAAGACCATGTTCAGAGCACCTTCTTGCCACTGCCAGGCAGCCAGCGGGTGGGAAATGTTAGACGTGCACAGTGGGTGCGCTCCCATAACCTTACCAAATCCGCACGCCCAGACCCAGAGAGGCGGCCACGCAAGGGAGGCCAGACGCATGCAAGCCTTGGTTTAGGGTGTTTCTCCTGGATTCGCCAGATATAAAGTACTTTGGACTTTCGGTCCAATGGAAACTCGCCAAATCCTTGCAAGCAGAGAACGAAGAGCAGGAAACAGCCCCCTCCACCTCTTTCCTCCTTTCTCCCATCCTGTGCCAGCACGGGAAAACGAACGGGGCGCCTTGCGGGAGAACACACCACCACACGGAACTTCCCCCAAGAAAGGAGGGCTGAGTGGAGTCAGGGAGGGGGAGAAGCGGCAGTTCAGAAGTTGGGATTAGGGTGACGCCGGGCCCGCAGCTTAGGCTGCGTCTTTCACATTCAGTCCAGCGTAGCTCCAAAGCCCGACAGGGAGCGCCTGAAAACCCCCCCAAACTATGAGATGCCCCCAAGGCGCAAGCTGCCGCAAACCAGCGGGCTGGTTCATCCTGGAAAGAAAGGAAGGGGAAAGAGAAGGAAACAAGGGTGGAAGGGAGGTGAGGAGGGGAGGGAAAATAGAGACGTGAAACACACAACAGGTAAATTCCCCGGCGGCACAAGGCGTGCCTTTTCAGGTCCCGCTCCAGGACGAGCCTTCACAGAACCCTGGGATGACAGGATGTGATTTTTAAAGTTCTAATCCCCCTCCCTCATTTTTTTTTGAAGAGGGTTCTTTTGTCACATTTATTGCTGCCGACTTCCTAGCTGTAAAATATTTCTCATGCATCTTGTAATTTTCAACATGCTTTTCCCATTGGGATCTCTAGGAAATAGTCAGAGGGACTAAAGGACAGTCAGGAAGACGCCTCCCATTCACGCCTGGAGACACAGCTGCAGGCAGCGCTCCGGCTCAGCCCACGCTGCTGGAGTCTCCGCAAAGGTGCGGGGAGCAGGCCGCAGCTGCTGCAAATCCTCGGGCTGCCAAAAGAAAGATTCACAAAGGAAAAGTCCCCACAGATTCAGTTTGCCCACCGTTTGGAACCTGCTTTGCCACTGTTTTATGTAAAAGCAAAGCACTGGGAGCCCTTCCTGTAAAGCCATAGAGTTGGTAAAAAGGATGGAAAGGAAAAAAATCATATTGAGAATATTATTTCACATGAAGTCATCACAATACCACAGTGCTTTCATTCCTTTCCTCTCCCCCAGCAATCCCCACTCTTGGCTGGAGAACAAATCCTCCCCACCCACCCTGCTTGGCCTATAGGCTTAGGTCCACCATTGTTCTCAACTGCAATATTCAGAGAGGCCCCCAGGGCTACAAATTACCTTTAGTCTAAAAGAGCCAAGATAAATTTATAATGATGCTCCAAGGAGTCCACAGATCTGCCATTTATTTACCATGGCCCTAAACACTTCAGAGTATGTGTGTGTATGTATATACATACACACGCATATATAATTTCCCGCCCCCCCCCC